CTACTCCTATATTTTCTAATTTTATAGCAATAGACCCAGCAGAAATTGAAGGTTCCCTTCGAATAAACTGCCCAATTGCTCGGGATGCATGTGGGGTTTTTTTTTAATGCGACCGCTACCATTTTTACGCTTAATATCTCCATTCTCCCTAATTTTTTAAGGTTGTTACATATTGTCCTAAGTGGAATCTTTGTTCTTGAGTGTATTTCGGCGTCATTGCGTATTCCTTGCTCCCATAATGTAAAATAACTTTTTGTTGTGTTTCTTTCTTTGAAGAAGTCATTTTAACGCTTAATAAATTGGAATTTTTACAAGTACTTGGGAAAAGTTTCGCTTGGAGATAATATTACAATCATGGGGCTTTCATTTGCATATTTATTTGTGCATGTGCGACCAAAATTGGGTTAGTTACACTTGATGATCAATTTTCAAAAAAAATTGCTTGTCACACCACTGTGTATAATTTACTGCGCTTTGGCTGATGCTGCGCCAAGCAATTCATTTATATTTAATTATTATTACCTAGAATTATTTAGCCGTTGAAATGTATAATATAGGATTTATGTAAAAGTACGTTGTAATTTTGACCTTGTCGTCATAAATTTGTAAACGATTTAAAAACTCTAAGAAAATTAAATAAACCCTCATATAACTTACACATTAATTATCAACTCGTAATAAAAAGATTTGGTTTCGGGGAAATTATGTCAATTTAGCAAGTGAAATCGAAGTCTCCTATATCTCAAAATTTTACAAAATTATTTTTAATGCAAAATCGAATTCATTCAAATAGTGGTAATAACAAAAAACTGATCTCCATTTCCAATTTCAAATATGTTGAAATGGTAAAATGGTAAGAAACTGCTCAACTCCGACCGCATGTGAATATTCATTGTCATTTCTCTACTTTATTGATAAATAAAAACCAAATCACCTACTTATAATTTTACCCACGACGCAATGACTTCCAAAATATCTTATTTAATTGCAACGTATCATAATACTCAAACATCACTTTTATCGTGATCCATGTTCCCTTTTCCTTTAACAATAGATCATAAAATATATGTTTCTCTATACGATGAACTTCTAACCACCAATTCATTCCTGGAAGGTTATACAAATAAGCTATGTTGATCATAAACCCTATCAATGTGATGGTACCTTTCATGGTCTCGAAAGGATCCGAGATATACAGGACGTAAGAATCATTGAAGACGAATTCCCTTAACGTTGTGGAGATTTCCCTACATTTAATGAAGAATGCGTAAACAGCTGGTGGGATAACATAGATGTAGAATAATATGACTCCAATCGTCCTTCCAATTTTCCTCAAAAATTGTTTCAACATTTTCCATAAACCTCTCCCTGGTCTACCATCTTTGTATTTCATAAACCTATTGATATTATAAATCACCACATCAAAGTTCAACCATGTGATAAGCAAGAACAACGAGAATCCGGAAACAAATCTCATGGATAAAATTAGCTGATGTAATCGAATGCCGTTTAGCCATTTTCTATTGAAGAGGATCATGAAAAATGGATAGATGATGTAGATCAAGGTGAATATGGAAACCATAAACAATTCGAAGTAGCGGACTCTCATTTCGTTCCTAGCCCCGATGCAAATCGATAAGAAATTAATCACCATTTTCATCACAAGCCAGAAAATCTGAAAAAGGTACTTAAAATTGGAAGGCTTTGTTTTAAGTTTATTGATAAGTTCTTTAGTAAATTCGGTCTTTTTTATTACATTCTTTGAATCTTTCAGGTATTCTGTATAAAGGTTGAGAAAGGTTGATTCTTTCATCGCAGGAACAAGTGGGAGGAAGGTCGATCTTCATTAGGAACATTTTTTTATTAAAGCTGACACCCGGTTTGAATCCGGATGTCGATTATCCGAAAACCGGATTACGTTCCAAGCGAAATTTCGGCGCAATATTCAACTTGTTAAGAAATCCGGTTTAGCTTAGTAGAGTTACCGCCATTCGGGTAAAACCGAATTGAACAGATCCCGTTCGTGTGCATGATTAATTACTATAACAACATCGATGCGAATTACACATAGGTGAGGTATAGATGAAAAATATCAAATACTTAAGAGAAAAAGGAAGAGCGCATAGAGAATAATAATGCTATGACAAAATTTTACTATGCGATACATTTTTTTGCCTTTATCCTTATTATGAGCACGTGACTTTATCAAATCAAGACGTTCAAGTGGACACAGTAAATATTTGATTTATCATATAGCTTTGGATATAACTAGGACTAATTGTTTGGTCTGATCTTATATCATTAAAGTAAATGCCATTATTATATGTCCGTTATAATTTATAATTTATGCTTAAAAATCATTTTTGCGAGAATGATGATTGTTGAATTGATTTATATTGATTTTCTTTACATAAAGTATTTTTTGACAACGCTAATATATTGTGAATTTATTGTTCAGGAAAAAAGGGTTTGGTTTAATTAACCGACAATCATTTTACCGACTGACAATCATTTGGCCGACAGGTACATTTTACCGACACTTGGATTACCGACATGGTTATTTCACCGACAGGTTTTTTCACCGACAAAAATATAAAACTTTCTTGTCCAAATTACTGAATAAAAAATATAAATTTTTAAAAATTCTATTATTTGTCGGTGAAATAACCTGTCGGTTAAATAATGTCGATGAAATAACCATGTCGGTAAAATGATAGTCGGTAATCCAAGTGTCGGTAAAATGTACCTGTCGGCCAAATGATTGTCGATTAAATGATTGTCGGTAAGTTGAATGCGACCCTCCATAATTCCACATGAGAATCGCTTTTGATATTTGCAGTTTAGATCATTTGCCAGGCTGTCAGGGCGTCAGGTTGTCAAGGTGCCAGTATGACAGGATTTCATGTATGCTAGGCTGGCCTAATTTTTTTTTTACAATATACAAGTCGGAAATCCTTAAACAGCTCGATCATTCCACGCTCATCCTTGTTATATTTCTTTGCATACATTCACCTCAAAATCCTTCCTTTAAAACCTTCGCGATATTTTCGCTTTCGCCGTTTTAACTTTTTAAATTTCTTATTTGTAATTTCGTTTATTTTTAAATACTGATTTTTATTAGTAGTTTATTATTCAATTTTTATGCAATAATTTGTAATTGCGCAGTTTTAATTAATTGATAGCACTTACTTAGTTTTAATATTTGATAAAGCGAAAGTATAGAGCGTCGACATTGAGGAAAAACTGATTGAATTGATAATATTAAATAAATTTAACGTCAATATTACTACATTTAATTCAATTAATACCTCCTGCTTACAATACAAATTGTTTATAAATACATAAACGAAAGAACTGAATACAACAATATCAATGATTTTCACGGCTGCGCTGTGAAAGTCATAAAATTCCAAGGTGAATCCGTGAAATAATTGTTTTTATATGCGCTTAAGAGCTTTGAACTTATAGTTATCCTTCACTACGTATAGAATAACAGGTATTAAACATGTGAGATGTTATATATATGTTAAATATAACAATAAAATTTACATTTATCATAGTGACTTCTGAAGTAATAAAATCTAATACGAACAAACTAAATTAAAATACTTAAACGAAATTATAATATGGAAGGTTTGCTATTAAATCGAGTTACGAAACATAATATGATCTGTAGTGTGATTTTAATAGCTTCCCTCTTAAATTATGAAGAAACTTTAATATCAAATAAGATATATCTTGATAGCCAAATATATAAGGCCATTTCCTTTTAAAAATTGATGTTATATTTCTAACATAAATCGCAACTATAATTCAATTTCTGATTTTTCTATCATGAGTTACGTTCATCATATTTTTACATTAGTATATCAGAACATTCAGAAGTGAGAGACTCAAAATGTTCTTTTGTATAAGGAATATAATCGATTCCTTCTCCAGAATCAGTAGACTTATCGAATTAAGAACTTGGATTGGCTTGCCAAACTATCAAATCAGCCAAATAATTTTCTAAAGTCAACACCAGTAATATAATCTTTAAAGCAAAATGTTTTTGATCTAATAATCTCTCAAATTGAACGATCATCTTGCCAAACATCACGAAATTTATGCGGAAGAGGACAATATTTCCTCTCATTAAATTGAAAATGATTATAAGTTAAAATAAATAAATAAGACTTTCTTTCATAGCCAAGGTGCTTATGGTTGGCTCATTGGTTTGTGAGAATCAAATTACTTCATTAGAATAAAGGTTCAGAGAGGATAATTTATGAGAGGTAAGAATCTTTAATACAAAAATGACTTGCAAGAAGTATAATATCATTATATATTTATTGGATTTATTATTTTTTATGTCAAAACCTTGAGCTGAAAATTGGATCTTTTATATATCATTTTAAGAATTTTATTTTAATCCTAATAAATTTATTTTTATTACGTGCTAGAAATGGAGAAGCACAGATTCAAATGGGAAAAATACTGGATGTAATATTTGGTCGCTAATAAATATTTCGAGATCAAATGATTTTCGTTTCATTATTTACTTTTTATAACATGAGTATCATAAGCCTTATTTGAGTATCTGAGTGTCTGAATTTTCTTTATCGTTAATTTTTGACAAAGAATTCAATGAATAAGAATAACTATACTACCCAATCAGATGCCCATCTCCTAAAAAAATCATAACGAAAAAACTTATTGTTTGATATAATCATGAGCTTTTCACTTTCTGAACATGATTGAAGTATACTTACGACCTTTGACTTTATCTTGAAATTTTTGGAGACGTATGGTTTAAAATGATATTATTGCATTAAATAGCAATTCTGAGTCATTATTATCTATATTTGCGTCCAGAACCGGAACTTTGTATTTATTCATATTTATTCATTTATAAAAAAACAACCTCCAAATTATTAAAAAAATATTACTTGATACTTTTATCTATATCATCTTTAGGTAGGTATTGTTAATGATTTTGGTGAAACTATTTGATCTGTAAAATTATTACCATATACATTAACGTTAAGTTCAGATGAAATTTAATTGTTATATTAAAAAATATGCAAATTCAATGTCTCATAATGTTTCCCTAATTTACTATACTTAAATGATAAAATAATTAGAAAAGTTTAGGGTGGCAACAATAGAGAATCGAAAACTTTCATTTTATTGATAAATCCTAGATAGGCTCACAAGAGGTAACAACAATAACAATATTTAGTTAAATTTTTTTCTAAATACATTTAATAATGTTTAAGTATTCAAATAAAAATTTTACAAAGTACTTATAAAAATGGTATTTCTGAAGGAAGTCAATTATTATTAATTAGTTATTAGGTATTTTAGCTACAGGACAATAATCTTGTAAAAAATGGTGAAGACCTATCTTCCAATACAAATTTTATAAAATAATCATAAGTCTCTTTGAATTTCCCTCCGAACCGAACGAATACTTTCCCACCCATTATAGTCAACGAACTCCTATAATCGTCCGTTAATTAATAAAACGTGTAATAATATTTCAAGTATTCTAAACTAAAAATAATAATAAATAATATTTAAACCTAGCTATTTACTGTTTGTTATCAAATTTAAAAAATTAATTGTCAACGGACTAAAATCGTACAAAAATAGTGTAACACATCGTTTATCGATTTATTGTAACTATTTTTGAACGTAAATGGGACATACTTTTAAATAAATAATATAAATACTTTGATGTGAAATAACCTGATTTTATTTTAATTTACTGCTGCCATATTTGCAAGAAACACCCTCTAAAACATTTAAAGACTGATTAAGTGAACTAGAACATCTTAAAACTAATTATCTAATATTCTAAATTATACAAATATAAAAAAAAAAAAAAAAAAAAAAAAAAAAAAAAAAAAAAAAAAAAACAATATTAATTAAGTTAAAAATGCTAATTATATTAATAACGTTAATCATTCATCAATCTTTATAATACAATAAGATTGATTTTATATAGTATCAATTTCCTCCTCTAAATTTGCAGCTCCTGCAAAAATTTCATAGGCTTTATCAACCAAGTCCTTGAACTTTCAGGATTTAAGATTATAAATCGTTCTCAAAATTAAATTCTAAATTTCTACAAATTTGTAAAAAGAATTTTACAGAATGCACACTGTATTCACGTGTAATCTTTCAAAGAAAGTATGTCATATTCATGCTATCCATAATCAACCTTACAAACATAGGTTTTCTAATATTATATAAGGCTAAAATTTGTTAACTTTCAGACTTATAAGACTCAAAATTCTATATAAATACAGAGGTGAATAAAAGTTTCTGGACACTTTTTCACCAAATATAAAACTTATAATTCCTTAGCATTAATAGTAAAAGTTCTAATATTATTTTATTTAGAGCTGG